TTCACGAATTCGTTTTTAGTTAATGATCATACATCCATAAAATGAAAATGGTTGGAAAATCTTGGAAAACTCGGAAAATATTCAATATTTTCGTAAAATAAAATATACTGAAAATGACCATTTTCCTTTTCATGAATCCATATCCTGGCTCCAGGACCTTTTTTGGAAAATATGATCGGGCAGAAAACTTCCTTGTAACTTCCTCTCTCCATATGAACTCCACAACAATAAAGTTTCGAGACCAAAAATAGTTAGAATTCATTTAATACAAACCCGGATAAATCCGGGCGATCTAGCATGCTTATTCTAACACAAACATAATTAAACCACACTTTATAACATATGATTATAGTTACCTTCACTTCTTTGCCATAAAAATATTTGGCAATTTAGTAACTATATAATTATTATTTAAAGGTATCAACGTACACGTATGGACAAAACAAATGCACGAATTCAGGTGTCCGTCCTTTCGGAAACTTTCATGTGTTCCAATTTCTTTTACACAATAATACAATATTTCATGATTTTATAACCATGAGGCATTAAAAAAAGAATATAGCAGAACTAAGTATCATCAATTGAATGAAAAAGATGAAAAAATTATCAGCTATATCAGTTTTAAAACTATTCTTGTTCCATTTGAAAAGAAATGAAAATATAAAATATTATAGTCCGCCCGTTGTTATAGATTATGGAATTTCGAATGGTCAAAGGATTTCGTGAGGGGTCCGAGCTACTGTATGTTCTTGCCGAAAAATGTTTATATCGATTTAAAAGAAGAAGAAATGGAGCGAAAATTTTTGTTTGCTATCAAACGATACTGTCGAAACCGAGAAAAGGTAGACCAGCGAGACATGAGGATCGTTGCGATTGTAATGCTACCGTCCGATTGAATCCAGATGGAACTTGCAAAAGTTTGAATACGACACACACTGAACACAATAACCACGAGGCAATTATGCGAGATATGGAAATGACAAACAACATGAAAGGAAATTGCAGAACGCTGAAAAACAATTTTGCAGAGGACTCGCATAAAATTCCAGCAAGAAACATTTTCCAACGTGCAGTCGTGAAGTGAGTATTGTCCGTCCGTCCGTTATTGCGAATTTGATCAGCTGTCATATGATACATCATTTGAAATATATTTAATAATTAGGGAGGGTTTCCGAAATACTCAGTTAAATTACAAACGAATGAAACGCACACTACAACGTCATAAAAATCCAGAACACCCAAAAAGCACCCGCTCCGTTGATGAAATCAGATTAAAATTCATGGAACCAGCCGTAATGGAAAAATACGGCGTGAATTTGGAAGGAGACGGAAATTTCTACGTTGGAACGATAGTCGAAGTCGACTATGCGTTCACGGTTTTCGCATCAAAATATGTCATAGATTTCATCAACGAAAAAATTGAACCGAAAAATCGGCACTACTTAATGGACGGCACCTTTGATTCACTTCCGAGTGAATTTTATCAATTATTGATAATATCCATTGAACATGAAAATGACGTAAGTAAAATCGACCATGTTGTCCGTCCGTTGGGGTCTTATATAATTAATTATGGAGAATATATTTATTATTCAATAATCGCTTTGAAAATTGAAAACGGTAATCTTATTCAGAGAAAATGCTGAAATTGCAAAGAATAAGGAATAATACTTGCTCTGAATATTTAGAGTTCGTAATGAAAATATTTTCGTGTTTATCGTCCGTCCGTCCGTATGCTCGTTCATCCATCATTCATTTATTGCAATATAACCTATTTTTCGGTTTGAAATCTTCAGATTTTTCCAGTGGTATATTGTCTCATGACACGAAAGACAGCCAAATGCTATAACGCACTGTTTGCCTTCATCGAAAAAGAGCTGTTTGAACTTCAGCCAAAGGAAATCATGACAGATTATGAATCTGGCATGCGAGCAGCTATTCGAGCGTATTGGCCCAGGGCCAATTTACGCGGATGTTGGTTTCACTTTTGTCGCGCTATTCGAAAAAGATGCCGCAAACACAACCTTACCAAGCTCTTGATGAAATGTCGGAACGCCAAATTAATCGAAAAAGCGATCATGAGCCTACCTCTTCTTCCCCCTGAACTGATAAAAGAGGGCTTTGCTTGCATCAAAAAATTTGCACGTGAAAAAAGATTGTTCCAACGTTTTAGTGCTGTATTCAGATACTTTGAAAGCTATTGGATGAAACAGGTATTTGTCCGAGATAAATGGTAATTTTTAGGAACTGGTCCGCCCGGGAATAGGAATAAGATTCAATGAGATTTACAGTTTTATTAGTGTCTTTTAGAAAATTAACTGTTCCGACTTTCGAACTATCCGTTTTATTGAAAATGGTGGCTTATGTAAATTCTGGACGGCATTATTTTGTATTCTGGGCGGTCCGTCCGCCGGTTGCTAATGATGATGCGTGGTTCAAATTACCACGGACAAGAGGTTTAAAAAAGTATTTCGTCTGCTTCAGATTAAGTAAAAAAGTTTTAATTTTATCACAGGATGCAAGAAACACAATATCAGTTATCGACTTAAATATGCGCACTACATCCTCCTTGGAAGCACTCAACTCGATCATCCAAAGGACTTTCCCAGGGCAAACTACCATATTCAAATTTGTGGAATCTTTGAAGTTACTTGAATCCATCAAATCAAGCGATTTGCATCAATTGACTTCAGGATTCATCTCAAACCAACAATTGGAACGTAGAAGAAGAGCCGATAAGCATAGAAACGATAAAATCAATCATTTCACCGGACTTTTGACAAATAAGGAAATTTCTGTAGCTGTCTTTTTGGAATCAATGTCCGGAAAGGATGTTCTACCCACTATCGGTGTGTAAAAAACGATTGAAAATATGAGAAAAATACGACACGTTAGAAAACCTCATCTTATGCGTTTTGTTTCCAGCTTACAGTGTGACAAGATCGAAACGAGCCTTGCGTTTGCGTCCTTTTATCGAAGGTGAAGCCAGTACCAGCAAAGGTAGAAAGAGAGTGTACAACTCAAAGCACGAGTATAGCTCGAGCAGCGAGTACAGCTCACACAGCGAATCTTCTGAAGAACCACCAAAAAAGAAGAAGCGTGTTGCAGCTGAAATGCGAAAAAGAAGAAAGTAGCGTCCGTCCGGGTCAATCTGAATTATTTTATG